TACATTTCTTTTCCTCCAGACATAAAGACGTGCTTTCTGTTACTGTCATCATTGTCATTTTTTTATTGTCACTAGGCAGAGTTTAATGTACCCACATGTATTAGCCTAAAAACCGTTGTCCTTGTAAACATTTTACTGTATATGAGGTTTTCTTTAATAAAAAGAATAATACATGTTTTATAAGGGATTCTGGCAATTGGAGAGAATGTGAGTGATGCCTTGACCTTTCTAAAGAAGCAAAATGACAGATCTAGAACATCCCAAAAAAGTTTGTTTAAAACAGCCATCATTACTGAAGCCTGTCTGACAGTGTCTTGTAATGTCTGGAATGATACATACAATGCATGCATATAACATTCAATTAGCAAGCAGAATGAAGAAGACGATGAACAGTAATGTACATCTAGAGCCAACACTTTTTTTTTTTTTTTTTTTAGTTAGCATGCAGATGGAGGTTGGGGGGTAAATTAATTTACCTTCTATTCCTGGACCAGTACCAACACAAAACTGTGGATTCAACATCACTTAATACCTGGTGATATCGATGATCAGGACAATTGGGGAATATGACAGAGACAGCAATAAAGACCTCAGGAAAACAAACTTAAAAATAAACTGGGAACATTTAGACTTGCAAGTATAGTTAGGAACTTCAGACAAGATTAATAGCTCTGGTGGGCAGCTCACACACAGCAAAGCCTCCCTCCAGGGGCACCCAATAGCAGCTCAAACTATACATATACAGAAAGCATTGCCAGACCAAACTTGGATAAAAGAGTCCAAGATAATTGTAATGGTTGATGAAAAAAAGGTCATATAAAAACAGCCAATGCGTTTCAGGGGCAACACCACTCCCTGTTCATCAGGACTTAACACAGGATAAAACTTGGATGAATTCAGAGAAAACAGTGACTTCAAAGATCTAAATTAGAACCACGTATTGAACTTCCACACAGAGGAACAACTCGACATCAGTTGCTGAGCATTTCTGCTTAGCAACTTCTACTTCAATACAAGTTTTATTCTGTGTTGAACCCTGATAAAGGAGAAGTTGTGTAGCCCCTGAAATACATTGGCTATTTTTAGATGAATTTTTTACTGACTGAATTATCTTTGATTCTTCTGTCTGGTTTTCTATGGTTTGAGAAATAAAGACTTGACCTGACTATGTCCACCCCTGCTAGGATATAAGACCTTACTGTCATATACTGTATTAACTGTTACTTACTGGGCTTGAAAGGAGAAATATGGGTTTTGAAAAAAAACAAACCTACCTACTTACCTAATCGTATTAATGCTACACCTGCCCCCTGTGCCTCTAAGACTGAGAATCAAGCGATCAAAGACCTCTGATTGCTCTGTTCTTGGTCTTCACTGAGCAGACAGTGGTGAGTGTGAGTCACCGGCTCTCTGCTCTGCCCCTCCAGCACTCACTGGAGCGTTGGGTTATGGAGGGGGTGGAATTAGCTGGCTCAGGCGCTCAGTGGCTCAGCTGTCAGTTGAGTCAAGATCCTTCCAGAGTCTGGACCAGCTGAGTGAAGTCAGATGACAGAGGGCTTTAAGCTGTTGTTAGCTGAATCTGGGTCACAGGAGTACAAAACAAAGTGCAATCCTGTGACCCACAGGAAAAGTAGGGTCAAAAGATCTTTGGCCATACTTCTCCTTTATAGTAATTAATGATCACACATAGTAGGAACATAGATACGTGAAAATGTTCTCTAAAATTCTGACGTAGGTAAATAATGGGCACTGTTTTCTTTATCAAATCACTGTGAAAAATAAATTCTGATTAGTACTTGAACTTTTGTGTCAGATTTACAATCCATGTTAGTATGGCATTTCCACAAGTAAATATACAGCCTCTCAAATCCAGTAATAATACAAAAAAAGTCTCCAAGTAAGTCAGCTGGGGGAGGGGCATAGGGCACGAACCCTTTCTTAACATTTTGATGTATAGGAATTACAGTGTGTATAGACCTTTAAGTCCTTCAAGGCTTTAAAAAGCAGTGAGCTTTAGAAAATAACAAAAGCACAAATAATAATGAAGTGGATTACAGAAAGATAACACATTTTGTTCATCTTGATCTTTGTTTATTTTTATGAAAGGCTTTGATTGTGATACCATCATTACAAATCATAGAAAAGCGGAAACAATTATCTGATAAAATCTGTGCATTGCTGAATTATCTCAGGAAACCTTTCACATCGATATGATATACAGAACATGTTGATTCCTGGTTAGCTCCAGCACAGCACAGTTTACTGAGGAACCAAGGAAAAAAAATACGTACTCCGGCAATGTTAAATTTTGTGAGCCACAAAATATATTAAAACGTGTTTTTTATTCTCCAGTGTGTAGTCGGAAGGAAGTAAAAAACTGTGTACAGAACACCTAGAGCCTCTGTTATAAATCAGCAACATAGACTTGCAGTGTTCAAGAAAATAAAAAACATTAATATGTTTTTTTAAATGAGAGCTATTCAAATGAGTGGAATAGACAAAAAAGTCTGGGAAGAGATTGGCTTGTGTAAATACCAGTCTGTTGGGTTTTTGCTGAATGATCAGTGCTGCAGGCTATAGCTGGCAACACTGATCATTGTATTCTGATTGTGAGGAAGGTACCCTGCCTTCAGAATGCAATAGCACAGTGGAAAGGATCGGCTCATTTTAACTGGCTGAGCACAAAAAAAAATCATATTTGGCCAGCTTTAGATTGGGACTTCCTTGTGTATTTTATCAAAACTTCAACAATTCCATTTAGTCGTAAGGTTGGGATCACAAATGTAAAACAGTGTCGTGTTTACAATGGGTGAGCCTTCCTCTTACAATCAAGGCAAGGAAGGGAGGAGGAACTAATGAATAAATAACTCATTCATTCATTAGCTCCAGATAGGCAGCAGATATTTGAGGTTGTAGATAGTTTTAACCCTTTCACCCCCCTACTGTATGTCTCAGAACCATGACTCTACAGTGACCTTTACATTAACCCCTTCACTCCCTTATCCTGCACATTTGAACATTGTCCCCTTTGTCTACATCCTCCCACTGTATGTTGTCTGTATATTAACTCCTTCACCCCCTCCTCCTGACCTCTACATTTAGTGCACTATTAAAGCAGAGTTCCACTCACCCTGTCAAAAAATAAAAGTCAGCAGCTACAAAAACTGTAGCTGCTGACTTATAAAAAAACAGCCACTTAGTTGTCTCTCGGTCCCGTGGTGTGTCCCTGTTTCACCGGCCATCCTGTATTCCAGGAGGCCGGCATCTTCAGTGTGGGCACCCGGCTGTGACTGCTTGTGGCTTAACAGCCGGGTACCCACTGCGCGAGTAGCGCTGCGCTTCATGAATGGTCCTGTAGTGTTAGGAATGGACTGGCCAGCAATGGTGGGACTCACCTGCCTTTTGATCTGCAGTACCAGGGCTGGCCAGCGGGTGCTCCCAGCAATCAGAGACTCAACCTTTCAGCCAGCTAACACCTGGAACTGATGATGCTGGGGTATTTAAGGGATGGCCAGACTTGCAGACTCTGCCTTGGTGTTGTGTTTGTCCTGGGCCCTGTATCTGTCCTGCATCCTGTTTCTGTTCCTTTGCTGACTTCTCCTGCTCTGATCCTGGCTTGTGACCCTGACCATTCCTCTGTCTTACCCTCTGTACTATGCTGCTTGCTACCTGCTGAACCTGGCCTGTGACCCCGACTATTCTCTCCGCTTGCTCCCCCTGTACCTACCTGCCCAATTGATATTGACCCGGCCTGCCTGACGACGCTTGCTTGTATATACTGTTATCTGTGGGTGGTTTGGTTTGGTTTTGTTTGCACTGTATTATGTTTTAGTATTGCACTGCGTTTATGTTTGTACTGTTAGTGTTAATAAATTATATTGTTTATAACATATCTGAGGTCTGCGTTTCCCTGCTTCAGTCACACACCTCTGGTCATACCTGGGAGCCCTGACATTACACCAAGGCCAATCCTGACCAGAAGTGACTGCACAGGGAAGCCATCTTGGTTTGTTTGCTGGGAAGGATGGATCTGGATGAGGTTGTGTATTTATATCTGCTAGTGCTTGATGACAGAGAGTATGCTTATCAGACTCTGAAGGAGTATACCCGGGATGAACTGCTAGAATGTATACGGCTCGCTCATGTTCTAGTAGATCAGGGCACAGTTTTCTCTATGGTGCAGCCATTGATTCAGGTTTGTGTTGAGTTGGTTTCATCTGGTTTCCCCGAATGCAGGGATGAATTTTTGCCACCATTTAGTGCAGACCAGGTAGAGTCCCTGGTGTGGTTATTAGAGGATGATGTGGGTTACTTTCTGGAGCGTTATTCCACATGTTCACCACAGACACTAAGAGATTGTATAAACGCAGTGCAGTCATTGACCAGACAGACTTTGTGTAAACTCAGCTTTGTTCAAACCCCTACTGCAGACATGGACAGATTTGTTGCACCCCAGCCTCAGTCAGCTTACAAAAACCCAGTCCTGCTTCTAACTCTACTCCTGTATTCCCACCAGCTCCTCCAGTTACAGCCCAGTATACTTGGCTATCTACCGCATGTCAGTACCCTGTTCCCACTCGCTGCACCTATCCTGCCTTTAACCCTGTAAAAAAGCCCTCTGTAGCAACCGCTCCCTCTCCTGTTCCATCCTCCAGCTCTTCTCTGTCTCCAGCTGCTCCATTCGTTTGCAGACCTGCGTTTACTTGCAGTGCTCCAGTAGTTAAAACCAGAAAAAAGCGAAAATTCTTTCCAACCAATACCATCCTGCCAGTATCCAAACCGGTGAGCCTGCCTTCCGTGGTTCAGACTGATGCCTGTACGCAGCCTGAAGCCTCTACTCGGCCTGAAGCCTCTACTCGGCCTGAAGCCTCTACTCGGCCTGATGCCTCTACTCGGCCTGATGCCTCTACTCGGCCTGATGCCTGCATTCAGCCTGATGCCGCTACTCAGCAGGATGAACTGATCCAGCCCGACGATCCTATTGGGCCAGTTGACTCGATGCCCGCTGTTGATCCAGATGATCCGGTGCCTGGTCCGGTGCCCACTGCCTTGCCAGATGACGTGGTGCCCGCTGGCAAGCCAAATGACCTGATGCCTGGTGACCCAGTGCCCGCTGTCATACCTGGTGACCCGATGCCCGCTGTCGAGCCAGACTATCCAATGCCTGGTTGACGCGGTGCCCACTGCCTTGCCAGATGACCTGATGCCTGGCGACCCAGTGCCCGCTGTCATACCTGGTGACCCGATGCCCGCTGTCGAGCCAGACAATCCGGTACCTGATGCCCCGGTGTTCACTGTCGTGCCTGTTGACTCGGAGCCCACTGCCTTGCCAGATGACGCGGTGCCCGCTGACAAGCCAAATGACCTGATGCCTGGTGACCCAGTGCCCGCTGTCATACCTGGTGGCCCGATGCCCGCTGTCGAGCCAGACAATCCGGTGCCTGATGCCCCGGTGCTCACTGTCGTGCCTGTTGACTCGGAGCCCACTGCCTTGCCAGATGACGCGGTGCCCGCTGTCGAGCCAAAAATGACCTGATGCCTGGTGACCCAGTGCCCGCTGTCCAGTCAGACGATCCAATGTCTGACCCAGTGCCCGCGGTCATACCAGTTGACTCGGAGCCCACTGCCTTGCCAGATGACGCGGTGCCCGCTGTCGAGCCAAATGACCTGATGCCTGGTGACCCGATGCCCGCTGTCCAGCCAGACGATCCAATGTCTGACCCAGTGCCAGCGGTCATCCCCAGTTGACTCGGAGCCCACTGTTGTGCCTGGTGACTCGGTGCCCGCCGCCCCGCCTGGGGGCCCGAGACCTGTCGTTCCGCCTAAGGGCCCGAGACCTGTCGCTCCGCCTGGGGGTCCGGCACCTGCCACTCCGCTTTGAGGGCCCGAGACCTGTCGCTCCACCTGGGGGTCCGGCGCCCGCCGCTCCGCCTGAGGGCCCGAGACCTGTCGCTCCACCTGGGGGTCCGGCGCCCGCCGCTCCGCCTGAGGGCCCGAGACCTGTCGCTCCACCTGGGGGTCCGGCGCCCGCCGCTCCGCCTGAGGGCCCCGAGACCTGTCGCTCCTCCTGGGGGTCCGGCGCCTGCCGCTCCGCCTAAGGGCCCGAGACCTGTCGCTCCACCTGGGGGTCCGGCGCCCGCCGCCGCTCCGCCTGAGGGCCCGAGACCTGTCGCTCCATCTGGGGGTCCGGCGCCCGCCGCTCCGCCTGAGGGCCCGAGACCTATCGCTCCATCTGGGGGTCCGGCGCCCGCCGCTCCGCCTGAGGGCCCGAGACCTGTCGCTCCGCCTGGGGGTCCGGCGCCCGCCGCTCCGCCTGGGGGCCCGAGACCTGTTGCTCCGCCTGGGGGTCCGGCGCCCGCCGCTCCGCCTGAGGGCCCGAGACCTGTCGCTCCAGATGGGGGGTCCGGCGCCCCCGCCGCTCCGCCTGAGGGCCCGAGACCTATCGCTCCATCTGGGGGTCCGGCGCCCGCCGCTCCGCCTGGGGGCCCGGTGCCTGTCGCCCCGCCTGGGGGCCCGGTGCCTGTCGCCCCGCCTGGGGGCCCGGTGCCTGCCGCCCCGCCGGGGGCCCGTGCCTGCCGCCCCGCCCGGGGGGGCCCGGTGCCCTGCCGCCCCCCGCCCGGGGGCCCGGTGCCTGCCGCCCCGCCCGGGGGCCCGGTGCCTGCCGCCCCCGCCCGGGGGCCCGGTGCCTGCCGCCCCCGCCCTGGGGGCCCGGTGCCTGCCGCTCCGCCCGGGGGGGCCCGGTGCCTGCCGCTCCGCCCGGGGGCCCGGTGCCTGCCGCCCCGCCGCCCTCCGCCTGGTGGCCCGCTGCCTGCTGCTTTGCCTGGTAATCCGATGTGCCTCTGCCTGGAGTCCTGCCCGATGTGCCTCTGCCTGGAGTCCTGCCCGATGTGCCTCTGCCTGGAGTCCTGCCCGATGTGCCTCTGCCCGGTGTGCCTCTGCCCGGAGTCCTGCCCGATGTGCCTCTGCCCGGAGTCCCCTGCCCGGTGTGCCTCTGCCCGGTGTGCCTCTGCCCGGTGTGCCTCTGCCCGTGTGCCTCTGCCCGATGTGCCTCTGCTCGATGTGCCTCTGCTCGATGTGCCTCTGCCCGAGTCCAGCCCGGTGTGCCGCTGCCCGGAGTCCTGCCCGGTGTGCCAGTCTTTGATATCCCGCCAGTTGCCAGACCCGGTTTGGAACATTTTGCCCAGCTAGGGACTGTTTGGAGCGTCCTGAGGCCGCTCCTTGAGGGGGGGGTACTGTTAGGAATGGACTGGCCAGCAATGGTGGGACTCACCTGCCTTTTGATCTGCAGTACCAGGGCTGGCCAGCGGGTGCTCCCAGCAATCAGAGACTCAACCTTTCAGCCAGCTAACACCTGGAACTGATGATTGCTGGGGTATTTAAGGGATGGCCAGACTTGCAGACTCTGCCTTGGTGTTGTGTTTGTCCTGGGCCCTGTATCTGTCCTGCATCCTGTTTCTGTTCCTTTGCTGACTTCTCCTGCTCTGATCCTGGCTTGTGACCCTGACCATTCCTCTGTCTTACCCTCTGTACTATGCTGCTTGCTACCTGCTGAACCTGGCCTGTGACCCCGACTATTCTCCGCTTGCTCCCCCTGTACCTACCTGCCCAATTGATATTGACCCGGCCTGCCTGACGACGCTTGCTTGTATATACTGTTATCTGTGTGGTGGTTTGGTTTGGTTTGTTTGCACTGTATTATGTTTTAGTATTGCACTGCGTTTATGTTTGTACTGTTAGTGTTAATAAATTATATTGTTTATAACATATCTGAGGTCTGCGTTTCCCTGCTTCAGTCACACACACCTCTGGTCATACCTGGGAGCCCTGACATGTAGTCTTCTGGGACCTGTGACGTGTCCCAAAAGACTACAGGGAGAGAGGACACTTTCCATTTCCGATGGCCTAGGCCAGTGGTGGGCAACCTTTTTTTTCAACTGAGCCAAATCTCGCCAAAACCACGATTGAAATTTATTTTGAGAGCCACATTTTTAAAACTGAAAATACATAGGATGGTGCACTGTTTTTAGTTTCAATAAGTTTTTATAGTAATTCATCCCCCATATAGTAATTCATCCCCCATATAGTAATTCATCCCCCATAGTAATTCACCCCCCATATAGTAATTCACCCCCCATAGTAATTCATCCCCCATATAGTAATTCATCCCCCATAGTAATTCATCCCCCATATAGTCATTCATCCCCATATAGTAATTCATCCCCCATATAGTAATTCATCCCCCATAGTAATTCATCCCCCATATAGTAATTCATCCCCCATAGTAATTCATCCCCCATATAGTAGTTCATCCCCCCATATAGTAATTCATCCCCCATATAGTAATTCATCCCCCATAGTAATTCATCCCCCATATAGTAATTCATCCCCCATATAGTAATTCAATCCCCCATATAGTAATTCATCCCCCCATAGTAATTCATCCCCCATATAGTAATTCATCCCCCATAGTAATTCATCCCCCATAGTAATTCATCCCCCATAGTAATTCATCCCCCATAGTAATTCATCCCCCATAGTAATTCATCCCCCATATAGTAATTCATCCCCCATATAGTAATTCATCCCCCATATAGTAATTCATCCCCCCTATAGTAATTCATCCCCCCTATAGTAATTCATCCCCCCTATAGTAATTCATCCCCCATATTAATTCATCCCTCATATAGTAGTAGTAAGTAAGTAGCAAGTAGTAAGCCAAGTCCCCCCTGTGTCAATTCACTTACCTTTGCTCCGCGCGTTCTTCTCGCCGTGTTCCCGCGCCGTTCCGGTCTTCAGGGCAGACTGTGAGAGGAGCCTAGCTCCTCTCACGTTCGTCACGCTGCCCCACCTACACACATCCTGACAGCCAATCACTGGCTATCAGGATGTGAGTTGTAGCGAGACTGGCCAATCATTGCATTTGAGGGCGCTGCCCTGGCTGTTTTTTTTTTTGGAGCACGCTCCGCGGACCGGATTAAAAGGTCCGCCGGGCCGTAGTTTGCCCATTGCTGGGCTAGCTGCAGAGTCCCGACTTTTGGGTCGACTGCCCGAGAGGAGGGAGGGGAGCGGGCGCCCGGCACACAGAAGAGCCGCATTAAAGTGTGTAAAGAGCTGCATGTGGCTCGCGAGCCGCGGCTTGCCGACCACTGGCCTAGGCAATCGGACCAGAAGTGGGAATGGGTACCTGTTAAATTCGGGTACCCCCCACCGCTCCCCAAAGGTGCCATTCCTTAATGGTGAGCAGTCCTTAAGTCCTTAAAGCAGAACTTCCCCTTTTGGGTGCAACTCCGCTTTAACAAGTTCCATGTGTTAACCATTTCAATACCAGCATGTTTCTTCATTTCCATAAAGGAGTAGCTTTAGGGGTTTTCACACTGCCATGGCATTTTGTATTTGCCATGTTTCATAACAAAAAGTAAGGGAAACTACCACCAAAAGAAAGCTCTATATTTCTAAATAAATACATAAAATTAATTTAGACACAGCCTTGTATAAATAAGTATTTGTCAGACAAACTATCACAGCACTGAAAACCTCAAAAAGCCTGGTGATTAAAGGATATTACAGGCTAGTACTGATGTGGTTAAGGTAAACTTTTTCCATCTCTATCTTTATTAGGCTTCATGTACACGAGCAGTTCTTAAACTTGAGTTTAGGAGCTTTTGGCATTTTTTCTTCCAAAGCTCCTAAACTCAACTCCATAAAAGCCTATGTGTCCATGTATACATAGGCTTTTAGTAGAGTTTAGGAGCTGCTGTGTTTAGGTTACAAAAATGGCAGTTGGCTAGTGCAAAGCCGCCTGGAAAGTGGTTAATTAAATCCTATGCGGAGTAATATATTACTACAAAGGTAAATGCCATATTGTATTTATTTGATCACTTAGATCATGGAAAAAGGTTGACATTGACAGAGTGAACATATTGCAATCATAATAAAATCAAAGAATTAAAATAAAGAACCGTTCAGCGTCTTCAAGAACGGCTGTATAGGCAAAAATGATCAGTATGAGGCAATGGACTTTCCTTTCTGTATTCATCTGCAGTAGAATTCCATATTATATAGCCTAGTGGAATCATTTTCTTCTTTTTTTGTGGATTCATTTCCATCTATGTTGGCTATCCAGGAAGGTCCATTCCCACCCATGTATATATTTATGGCACAGTTACTGAGAAGGTAAAGAGAGATATATCCAACATTCAATTAATCTGAATATGTGCATCCTATTAGGTTGATGTCAAGATGATTATCCCCTGCCTCCTATGTATTCACCACCATCTACTATTTAATTCCTAGGATTTCATCTATTCTTACTGTGATGTTCATGAAGGAACAGCTAAAGAAGAAAACAATTCCACTAGGCTATATAATATGGAATTCTACTGCAGATGAATACAAAAAGGAAAGTCCATTGCCTCATATTGATCATTTTTGCCTATACAGCCGTTTTTGAAGACGCCAAATTGTTCTTTATTTTAAATTCTTTGATTTTAATATGATTGCAATATGTTCACTCTGTCAATTTCAACCTTTTTCCATGATGTAAGTGATCAAATAAATACAATATCGCATTTACCTTTGTAGTAATATATTACTCCGCATAGGATTTAATTAAACCACTTTCCAGGCAGCTTTGCACTAGCCAACTGCCATTTTTTTGTATTCTAGTATTTTCAGGTTTATAATCCACATTTTATTTAAGTGAGTCGGAGATATTTCTAAAATACGGTTATCGTATCAATTTGGATGGCATTTTTTTACCTGTGTTTAGGTTACACCCTCTCTCTTCTGAACACGGAAGAATTGCGTTCAGAATAGAATCTTTTGACTGCTGACTGTGGGAAAATGCAAAACACAGCAAAAACGCGGCAACCATGGTACCGCGTTTTTGCCACGATTTGAGTTTTCCCACAGCGGTGGTCAAGGTAGGCTTGTGTACATGAAGCCTTAATCTAGTGCAGAGAGAAACAGCTAAAAAGTAGCTATAACACATGCTGCTTTACACTGTACATATTCTAATGTGAGCAGACAGCTTGTGATTAAAGTGTTACTAAACCCCG